GGGGACAGAATTTTTTTAAGTAGTGTAAATCAATTAATTTCAGCCAAATGCCGTAATTCGTAACACGAGTTAAAATAATTTTATGTACTGTAGATCGAGTCTTTTTAGAAACATCGGAGTTTAAATACCGTAAATTTTTTTTGTGTTTGAATTCTTTTTTCTTCCCATTTTTTTGTTGTTACTATGACTTTTATTCGTAGAGAACTAGTTAATGATGTATATTATAGAATAGATGTTACGATAAAGGATGATGACATAGACAACGAGTATAAATTGAGACAAAAAGCAATTATAGATGATAACTCACTTACGGAAGATGAAAAATCAGAGGTATTGAGAATGTTAACTGAACAACATGATCATCATAAAACTTATTCTAATGAAGGAGAGAATAGAATTTGTGAAAACTGCCAACAAGAATGTTTCGCGGTATCATATTGTGAACTTTGTATTCGAAATTATTTAAGAGCAAAATTTTCAAATTGGACGTCCGGAAATGATGAAATTGATAATTTAATACAGAAATGTCAAAGTGAAACAAATCTTCCCTATTGTACAGTTGAATGGATCCCACATACTAATTTGCAAAATATAAAATATTTAACTAAAGGTGGATGTTCTGAAATATATACGGCAGATTGGATTGATGGGTGTTATGATAAATGGGACTCTGACACTCAGCAATTAATGAGATCTGGAACATTCAAAGTAATACTTAAAAGGTTAGAAAATGTTGAAAATGCTAACAAAAGATGGTTTGAAGAGGTATAAAAATTATTAAAAATTCAGTTATATAATTAAAAAGCTAATTTATTTATTCTATTTATAGGCACAATCTCATTTAACATTAAGCACTAAATTGACAGAATGTACTCGATGTTTTGGTCTTACTCAGGAACCATTATCAAAAGATTATTTTCTTGTAATTATTTTAATGGATATGGATTTAAGAAAATATTTACAACAAAATAATAACAAACTTACATGGAAAGAAAGAATCTCTATTGCATCTATTATAATTATTGCTATTTATTTTCTTCATGAAAAGAATGCAATTCATAGAGATTTGCATTCAGGAAATATATTATATTATAAGTATTTTGATTGTTGGTATATCGGTGATTTCGGATTTTGTGGTCCTATCGATAAATCATTAGAAAGCATATATGGAAACCTTCCTTATATAGCACCAGAAGTTATTGTTAAAAAAAAATATACTAAATCATCAGATATTTATAGTATTGGTATGCTCATGTGGGAGATTTCATCTGGACGACCACCTTTTGCTAATTTTGATCATGATTATGATCTTGCAATGAATATTGTAAATGGAATAAGACCAAAAATACCTAAAACTCCATTAGAATATAAAAGTTTAATAGTACAATGTTGGGATGCCGATCCATTAAAGAGACCTGATATTAAAATTCTTTGTAACAAAATTACAGAACTACGTAAATTATATTATGATGAGGAATATAATATTATCAATATAAAATTTAATGAAAGTACTAGTACAATTGATTCATTAAATAGTAGATTTAGTAAAATTCATAATTTTGAAGGTCTATCTGAACCAAGAAATTCTACTGAAGGTAAACTAATAAAAATATTTTTTAAATTTATCATAATTATCTTATCATAAAACATAACTAATTGATTTTTAACCATAGAAGAACTAGAAGGTATTTTATTAATTGATACGTTTTAAATTTTATTACAAATTTTAATACATTTTAAATTTTAAAAGTATTTTATAGTAATTATAGTATCCCTTATAATAGTAAGTAATGTATAACAATTTTTATTTTGGATTTTTGCATAAAAATATGTTTAACTCAGTTGATTTAGTTGAGGATTTCGCATGTTCGAATAAACGAAACGACGGAACATCAAACTCAAGTAGTATTATTAAAAGTAAATAATATACAATTTTATTAGGTATATATTTTTTGATGATTTAAATATTAATAACTTTTATTATAAATTTAATTAGATTATAGTAAAAATATATCTAAATTGTTGAAAAAATTACAAATAAGTTCAAAACGTAGTAAGTGAGAATTTTTATATTTATGATGTCAAATACCTTATACTAATGTAACCATGATTTAATTTCTTATAGAAATAACACAACGAAGAAAAGAAAAAGGCATCAGAATTGATGATGGTATATCAATACTGTAAAATCGATCTATATTTATAACAATAAGATATAATTTTTCTATTTAAACATTTTCTAGACGATGATGAGATTTATAATAACCCGAACCTTCACGCAGAAGATCAAGATGAATTAGAAATTCCAGAAGGTAAATAGTTTATCAATTATAACTTCGAATGATTAAATAAAGTAATATTTTATTACAACAATTGTTAATTTTCTAGGGAATTAGAATTGAATAATCGTACTAAAAGTTAATTTGTTAATACTATTTGAATAACAAAACGATTATTAGATTAATCAAGTTGTATTTTATTGAATTGCTTAGTTAGTAATTTAAATAATTTTTTTTCTTTATATATTTTTTTTTTTACTTGTGATTTTATTATAAAAACATGCATGTTTACACCGCAAAATTATTTTTAAATTATTAAATTGAAAAAAAGTTCAAACCAAAACATTTATTTATTTCATTATTTATAAGTTCATACTAATACAATGAAAAAAAAATCCAGAAAAGTCCTAAACTGTGAAATTATACCAAAAATTATTTCTTACGATTTTAGTACGGTATTTTTTTTCCAGAAGTTCTTCTTCATACAAACAAATAACATAAATTTAGTTAAGCACTATGGGTTTGCTAAAGCTTACCGGTGATGATTTGTAATAATTCTTTAAATTTACAATATAAGTTATATAACCTTTTCGCCCACATAAGAATTTGTACTTAACAAACGCAAAAGTCACGTGATCAAGAACGATTTTAAAGATAAAAAATTTATTTTGAATTAAACATTGACCTTTAGCTATAAGTTCTAGCCGATGCTTATTTACTTCGTTTCAGCAAGTTTATTTAGAGTGATAAGAAAGGTGTGCTTTTTTTACTAAAATAATTTTCATTTTCATTTTTGAAACAGACTAGGTAAAGAACTAAGTTTCCATTACCAAGGAGAACGTGATCATAAACTGATATCAATAAAATATAAAACGTTCGTTTCAAAGGCCTAAATTATTCAATGTGTTTATTAATTATAAAGTAACTATTCCTTTATCAACTTAACTTAGTGTCGATATGTCACAATTAAGTAGAATTCGGTATCTATTAATTATAATTTCATGTTACAAAAATAAAAGTACTTACATTTTTAATAAAGAAAACCAAAGATCAAATAGATCAATGAATATTAAACCTAGTTGTCATCCCAAAAATTACAAAATCCATTGAAGTTCTAAAGTTATAAATAGTATCGAAATAAAAGCTATTTATTGCATGCAATAATTTGTAAATTAAGAATAATTTATTTACCATTAATCAATTAATGTCATTTAAATCAATCAGCACACCATAAGTTTTCGTTTACAAATAAATATTTAGCATGATAAAAAGCAACAAATTTAATTGGTATGCTGTGCTGATTAATGATAGTATTATGAATATTTTGATTAAACATATATAAATATATGAAGTCTATATCATATACTCGTAGAAAAAACTTAAGTTTATAGGAGATTTGAATCTGAATTGATGGAGATTTATAAAAAAAAATCAAAATTTCTTATAATGGGTTCGTTGCTCAAATATAAATAAATATAAATATTTTACTCTCTAAACGATAATCATGGTAAATAAAAATGAACCAATTAGAGACTTGCATTTATTTTTCTTTTTACCTTTTTTTTTTTTTTTTTTTTTTTAAAAAAATAAAACTTAAATTTGGAATCTTGAAATGGATGGATATTTAATTATGAATCGACAGTCGAAAAAAAAATATGATCTAAAAAATCCGGATCATAATTTTTTAATTTTATTTTATTTTATTTTTTTTTAAAAAAATTACTTTTCAATATATGACAATAATTCGCGATAAATGTTATTCTCGCGAATAATGTGCAACGAAACATTCTCTAATTAAACTGTTTCAGGACATTTTATGTTACCTTGAAAATAGCAAACATAAAGTCCACCTATAAAAAGGAAAAAATTCAATAGTAAAATTATATTTATTCCTTTATTTTTAAAAACGTGTATCATAATACTGTTAAAACGTAAATCAACGTGCTAAGCAAATATGTGTAGAGAGGAAAGAAATATAATTTAAACGTAATGCGTGATTGCGATGATTACATAAATATTTTAATAAAAAGATCATAACGATAACAAAATAATTTTATTTTGGATAAATTTTAAAAAAAAAAATTTTATTTTTGAAGGACACAAAGCAAATTATTAACAATGCAATGCACAAGAATAATGTATCAATTAGTTTATATGTTTCATAAGTTCACTATTAAGATTTTGATTTGTACTTATTTTTAGAAAATCAAAGTTTTACTCATGTGTTCACGTGATTGTGTCATAGAAATAACTATTACACAACCTAACAATGTAATGTAATCTCATTCTTCTTTCACTAACCGATGATATTGTTATAAAAAGAAATCTCATTCTTCTTTCACTAACCGATGGTATTGTTAATATTCCCATTTTGAATCATACGATATTCAAAAACAATGAATTACGCAAAAGGGATTTGCGAGAGATCGGGTCAAATTAATTTGGTAAAAAATTTTCTTCACAATCGTGTATTTTTTTGAGTTAGTTTAATTTTTTTTATTATTTTTATTGTATAATGACTAAGTCCTTTTTAGACGTGAAACAAAATTTATAAACAATGAAATTTCTATACTATTTTAGTCTCTTATGAGAATTTATTATTATTAAATAGGTAGATAAATTAAATGAATCCTAATAAATATTGTAATTAAGCCAAATTACTACTTATATTATACCGATAAAGTAATAACAATAATTATTTCACTCAACGAAAATTTATTATTATGATGCTAATCTTGGACGAGATGGATTTGGTTTTTCCTTGGTTGCCAATCTATTTACAAGTAATAAAAATAATATTAATAAAATAATAATATTAATATTAATAAACAAAGCACAATACTACACGATCTGAAACAAATTTCTTTGCTTCGAAAAAAAGAATTTGGATGATGATCTTCCAAATAATACATACCCTAAGCTTTCCATGATGGATTTTAATTTTGGACCAATGGGGCCTTTACCTCCCACCTCTGCTATTAATTCCTCTAATGTTTTACCAGGAACCGGAAGAAATGTCATTAAAAAATCGGGAGTGTTAAGATAAGTTTTCTCATCAACATGAGTCATACTTGCACCACCTTGAAAAGGCTTAATGGAAGTCTCCAAAATCACTTTTTCGGAAGGTGCGGGGAAAGTGGAAATTGTTTTAGGAGTCGTGGTTATCTTTGTCATATCTCGAGCTACATTGACTTGTTTGGAATCTAGGAATTTTCGTATTAAATCGACATCACTCTTAAATCTTGTGCCAGCCTTGGCAAATTGATTCAATTCTTCCGAGACCTTAGTTAACCTCGTTTGATCACGGTTAAATATCAATAATCTATCAAATGCGGCTTCCTTAAATCCATTGAAAACGGTCTGATTGTTATCATTTATGATGTCTGGACGGGTGGTGATGAGAACGTCTTTGGGATCATCCGAGACCAGGAAATCCCCCCAAAGTGTGAAGAAACCCATCCCGTGCATTAATTCGTGCAAAACAACATAAAGCATGTCTCGCTGCTTTGATCGAATAGGAGTTTTTTGTGATGGAAAATACCAATCGACAATGGAATTAAATGATGCTATGATATCAATTGATGAAAATTCGGGATGCTTTTTAAATTCAAATTGTTTCACCAATGATTGGGGATATAATCGAGCTACGTCATCATCATCCAACAATAGCATGTTTCGTGCCGATCTGGCGCCACCTTGCGGAACAATAATAAATATTTTTTTTTAAATAAAACAAACAAAAATAGAAAAAAATAGAAAAGAAAAAATTGTTTAGAATAGGTTAGTTATTTTTTACCTATTACGACCCGTTTTCCTCCTTGTACGTCACACAAACTAGGTTTCGATATACAAAAGTTTGTGAAGTTTACGTCCAAGTTTATAGTACTTTTCAAAATGAAAGTTTCTGAAATAACTTTTGCGGCCTCATCAAAAGTCTTTCTAACATTTTTACAAGTTTCTTCGGTTGCATTATCACATTGAAATCGGGATACTTTTATTTTCAATTCGTCATCGTCATCCCTTTTGGAATATCTTGACAAATCATCTTTTACGAGCGGACACGCAACACTCCTTCTTGCATTATGATCCAACGCATCAAAATAATCCTCACAATAGGAAAATATCGGTGGACAGTAACATGTTACTATAAGGAAAAAAATTATAAAGAAATTCTTCGATTTAACGGTGGTACTCATCGTTGAGAGAGATGGCTGTGAAAGATTAATGAGATTATGATTATTTAATTTAAAGCAATCCGGTTATGAAAAAAATATAATTTTTTTATCTTAGCAATGATTTCATCAAAAGATCACCAAGAAAAAAATTATACACGAATTCCAAAAAAAAAAAATTTCAGATGACAATTAGGGCTCATAAAGTTGGCATTTTATATATTTTTTATTTGAAGTAAAAACTATTGTATATATTATGTATATATAAATATGTATAATAGTTAATTGATGTCAGACATGGTTTTAGCCAAATAAGGTGCACTATAATAATCATGTATAATGTATTATTTATATTGAATAAAATTTATTTTTAGAACAGATTAAATTACAGGGCTTAACATGCAGTGCCACTTATCTCACGCCCCCCACCTCGATCGTAAACATTATAAATACAGGATTCTCGCATTCGCGTTTCTTATAATTTTTTTTTTTTTTTTTTTGGTTCAAATCCACCCTTTTGGATTTGCAACTACAAATTTCAGAGTTTTTTTTTTTTCAAAATCTAAAAAAAAAAAAAAATTTATCAATTTGTTAACTGGTTTTCATATTTTATATAATTACAGTTAAGTTAATTCATTTTAAATTCGTTCTGATATCATTCCAATACTTTGCTAGTCGGGCAACTGAGCCTTCTACCAAAACTGGCTTATTGAGTTTTATGTTTGAAACCAAAATAAATCATGTCGTCAATCCTTTTGACAACCAGCCAAAACAATTCGATCATTTTATCATTTTGGTAAGATGATTCATGTCCAATGAATCATGAAAAATAATAAATTTTTTAACATTTGACGTAATATTATTTTTCCATGCTAAATATAGATTCGGTTCAAAAAAAGAATAAAAAAGAAATTCCAAAAGGAAATCACTCCACATTCGGCAAGATTCAGGTGATCATTTTTCGATGGAAAATTCCCGCCCCTGAAATAATCCCATTCCTTTATTTACCTAGTAAAAAAAAAAAAGACTTCGGGCATTATGCTTGATAATTTTTCTCTTGTGCATTCCTATAAGTTATCCCTTATCCTTTTGTTCCTTGTTTGTTCAGAATAAAAATTTCTCCCTGCGCAACTTTACATTAATGCATGCCAAGGATATGTTTTAAATTTCATGCATCTTCCATACCATTTACATTCCCAATCAACGATTGAGATTTGTAACCTTTGAAATTTATATAATTAATATAATTTCCTTATAAATTGAATAATGTGAGAGAATTATTCTTTTGATTGGTTCATTCATTAATTTGCTACGTCCCTTTTATTTCAAAAACCTGACAAATATTTATTTATTTATTTTTTTTTAAAACAAAAGTAGGAAAGTTTCCTTTTTTTTTTTTCCAAAATCGACAAAATAATTTTTTTAAGATTAAATTTAGTGGTCATGTGCGTTCAGGGATGTAAAAGTTTTTATCTCCGGAGAAATGTTATCTCATAAGCATTGTACAAAAAGATTGACAAAAACTTTATTATTTGTACATAATGTCAAGTTTACCACTTGTTTCCAACTTTACACGACATATCAAAAAATTTTCAAAATGCAGGACCCTTTTAACGTAAAAATAAATAAATAAATAAAGATAAATCTTTTCACGCATTTTTTGTCCGTCTAATTGCATAAAATAGGAAAATTGTAAAACATGCGACGGCTATCTATCATTAAGAAACCAAAATAAATCTTGTGTATACAACAAAGTATCGATTTTCTCGATTTATTTTACCAAGATTACGTTAAAAAAGTAAATCTTCATCTAATTAACCGTCAAGCGTTGTGAATGGTGCAAATGGTTTCAAATAATTTAAAAAACATTGCGGAAAAAGGATTTTCAATGAACTCATTTTAATCTAAACGTAAATGTTGATCTTAATAAAAAAAAATGGAAAAGGTGGTTGCCAACGATCACTTAAAATTATTTAATCAAATGATGATACTTGGCCACGGTCGCACAATAGTGTGGGATGTTTGTCCAACATCATCTTTTTTTTTTTTGATTAATTATAATTCATCACTATAAAAAAAAAAAATCGTGTTTTGGATTTATAACTTTGTAAAAAAAAATTTGAAACTCATTTTAACTTTAGACAGTATTTTCAAAAATTAATATAATAGTTTAAATATTGAAAAGGAGAATAAATGAAATTGATAGAAATAAAAAAATTCCACGTCAACTTTGAATTCTTTCAATTATATAATTAATGTTTCTAAATTTCTTACAATTTACATTTACAATTTAAAAAATGACGCAGTAACTTACATTTTGATATTAAATATCTATTAAAAATTTTCATCCAATTTTTATAGTTTTTTTTGAATTTGTTAAAAAATCAAAAAATATTGTAAAACCATGTTGTATAACTTAAAAATCATGTAGATAAAATTCTATTTGTAACGGCAATATTTTAACCGGAGTTTAAATACCGTAAATATATATTTATATATTTTTTTTTAGAAATACAAACATTTATGTTCCATTCATTTTCATTGCCATCATGACTTTTATTCGTAGAGAATTAGTTAATGATGCATATAATAGATTAATTGCTTTGATACAGGATATTGACATAGACAAACAATATGAATTGAGACAAAAAGCAATTATAGCAGATAATTCTCTAACAAATGATGAAAAATCAGAGGTAATGAGATTAATAACTGGCCAACATGTAATAATAAAACTTATTCTAATGAAGGAAAGAAAAGAATTTGTGAAAACTGCCAACAAGAATGTTTCGCGGTATCATATTGTGAACTTTGTATTCGAAATTATTTAAGAGAGAAATTTTCAAATTGGACGTCCGGAAATGATAAAATTGATGATTTAATACAGAAATGTCAAAGTGAAACAAATCTTCCATATTGTACAATTGAATGGATCCCACATAATAATTTACTAAATGTAAAATATTTAACTAAAGGTGGATGTTCTGAAATTTATATGGCAGATTGGATTGATGGACCTTATTATCAATGGAACTCTAGCACTCAGCAATTTATAAGATATGGAACAGAAACTGTAATACTTAAAAGGTTAGATAATGTTGAAAGTGCTGACAAAAGATGGTTTGAAGAGGTATAAAAATTATTAAAAATTCAGTTATTAAATTAAAAAGCTAATTTATTTATTCTATTTATAGGCACAATCTCATTTAATACTAAGCAATAAATTATCATCTTTAGTTCAATGTTATGGTCTTACTCAGGAACCATTAACAAAAGATTACTTTCTTGTAATGCATTTAAATGATATGGATTTAAGGAAATATTTACAACAAAAACATAACCAACTTACATGGAAAGAAAGGATTCATATGGCATATTCTATAATTAGAAATATTTATTTTCTTCATAAAGAAGATGCAATTCATAGAGATTTACATTCTAGAAATATATTATACTTGAAATATTTTAATGGTTGGTATATTGGTGATCTAGGATTTGTGGACCTGTTGATAAATCATCAGAAAGCATATATGGAAATCTTCCTTATATAGCACCAGAAGTAATGTTTGGAAAAGGATGTACTAAAGCATCAGATGTATATAGTATTGGTATGCTTATGTGGGAGATTTCATCTGGGCAACCGCCTTTTACTCATTTTGATAATGATTATGATCTTGCAATGAATATAATAAATGGAATGAGACCAAGAGTACCTAAAACTCCATTAGAATATAAAAATTTAATGATACAATGTTGGGATGCTGATCCATTAAAGAGACCTGATATTAGAATTCTTTATAACAAAATTGCTGAAATACATAAATTTTGTTATAATGAGAATTATAATATTATCAATACAAAATTTAATGCAAGCACTAGTACAATTGATTCATTAAGTAGTAGGTTTAGTAAAACATATAATTTTGAAGGTCTACCTGAACCAAAAAATGCTACTGAAGGTAAGTTAATAAAAAAAAGTTTTTTAATTTATCATAATTATATATAATATATAATTAATTGATTTTTAATTATAGACGAACTAGAAGGTAATTGATATATATTATTTAATCGAAATGTTTTAAACTTTATTACAAATTTTAATATATCTTTTTAAATTTTAAAAGTATTTTATAGTAAATCTTGTAATTATAGTATTCCTTGTAATAGTAAGTAATGTATAAAAATTTTTTTTGGATTTTGCATAAAAATATGTTTTAACTCAGTTGATTTAGTTGAGGATTTCGCATGTTCGAATAAACAAAACGACGGAACATCAAACTCTAGTATTATTAAAAGTAAAAAATATTCAATTATATTAGATTATATAATCTTTTGATGATTTAAATATTAATAATTTTATTGTAAATTTAATTAGATTATAGTAAAAGAATATCTAAATTTTTTAATAAATTACAAATAAATTCAAATCGTAGTAAGTGAGAATTTTTATATTTATGGTGTCAAAATACCTTATATTAATGTAACCATGATTTAAATTTTCTATAGAAACAAAACAACAAATAAAAGAAAAAGGCATCAGGATTGATGATGGTATGTAAATACTGTAAATCGAACAATCTTTATAATAATAAGATATAATTTTTCTATTGGATTAAACATTTTCTAGACGATGATGAGATTTATAATAACCCGAACCTCCACGCAGAAGATCAAGATGAATTAGAAATTCCAGAAGGTAAATAGTTTTTATCAATTATAACTTCGAATGATTAAATATGTAATATTTTATTACAACAATTGTTAATTTCTAGATTGATTTAGAATTGAATGATCGTACTAAAAGTTAATTTGTTAATAATATTTGAATAACGAACGATTATTAGATAGATTAATCAAGCTGTATTTTATTGAATTGCTTAATTAATAATTTAAATTTACTTGTGATTTTATTACAAGAACCGCAAAATTATTTTTAAATTATTAAATTGAAAAAAAAAAAATGTTCAAATCAAAACAATTATTTATTTCATTACGTTATTTATAAGTCAAATAAAAAAAATCCGGAATGTCCTAAACTGTGAAGTTATACCAAAAATTGTATTTTCAGCATTTCTTACGATTTTAGTACGATATGCTTTTTCCAGATGTTCTTCATACAAACAAATTGAGAGATATTAATAAAATAAATTTAGTTTAAGCACTATGGTTTGCCGCTGATGATTTGTAAAAATTCTTTAAATTTACAATATAAGTTATATATAAAAATAACCTTTTTGCCCAAATGAGAATTTGTACTCAACAAACGCAGTCTCGTGATCCTAACGATTTTAAAAATAAAAATTTATTTTGAATTAAACATTGACCTTTAGCTATAAGTTCTAACCGATTGCTTATTTTACTTCGTTTCTGCAAGTTTATTTAGAGTGATAAGAAAGGTGTGTTTTATTTTTCCTAAAAAATAACAATTTATATTTTAAAACTAAGTTTCCATTAAAAATTTTGAAAATTATAATTAAGAATTACGTCATTAAGTCACTAAGTTTGATAGTAAAACAAAAGTTAACCGCAATAGAAAAATTTAGGATTCTTTTTTTTTACTCTCAAGTTTGAATTTAAAGCTAGGCGAATTTATAAAGAATCACTTGATTCAGAATTCAAAATAGAATGGAAAGATGAAGATAACGATTGGGTCACGTGAAAAAATTTTTTTTTTATAATTCTCGTTGATTTTAATCACACGTTATTCATTCATATCAAAGTGATGAGTCTCTTAATAATATCTTGAAAAACATGGCGAAAAGTGACCTCAAGTTTCAAGCAATTAAAAAAATCTACTTTGATAATTTTGTTCTATTATAAAATAGGAAGTGAGATACGTTGATGGTTTAACGTTCAATGGAGCAGCATCATGTTTAAAACAAATTCCTTCCCTACATTCATATGCTAGATGAAGCCCGTGAATGAATTGATTAGCTTGATATTATGCGTCATATTATAATTATCACAAAACCCGAACAAAAACTAGCTAATTATACTTGTGAAGCAACAACTTGGTTAATTGAATCATCATCAAATTCAAGTCTACATTGAATTTTATAAATGTTTTTGAGATGACCTCTGAACGCGAAGAAAATATTCATTTTTAGAACGAAAATGATTTTAATTGGATAATTAGATTTAATAATTAATCTTGAAGTAGATAAGTCAATTTTATATTCGTCATGTATGTTTCAAAGTGACAATTTTTATCGGATATTTAGGCTGCTTAGCTGTATTCAATTTGAATCATCATTATGGATGGTGGCGGTGACCGTGCTTATATCAGATTACAACTTAAGTGTCTATTCATAGGAACTATAAAAAGGTGAATTAAAATAATATTGAAGAAGTCAATAGTCAAGAAATTTCAAAATCGCCTGAAATTGTACAGTTTGTGCATTGATCGCTGGGAACATATTGGAAATCTTGCAGGTTGGTTCATGTTCATTTCTAGAACTAATAAAATGAACAAATGACCATATTAAATGTCTCATATAATATAAAAAAAATTTTTAGGTGAGAGAACGTGTCCTGATCTAATATTTTTTATTTTATTTGACAGCAACATGAACTGCTTATTCGGTATTTAAAATTATCTCCTAGAGTTTTATCATTTCTCATTTTTTTTGCATATTTATTTATGAGCTAGATTTCTGCCTCATTTATCCTGATCAAAATACTATTCGATAACTTCGCGAGGCGAATGATTATTCCAGATTTAAAGAAATACGTATTTGTGTTTCTTTCACGAGCAGGGAGTAATTATGAATCAATTAAAATAAGTGTATTTTGTGAATTTTTTAAAGAAGAAATCTTATATTAAAGTCATGTTTGAAAGAAGAAATTGTATACCACTTGAACATGGTGATTCAATCATGGTTACTGACTGTTTCATTGCATCCCTTATTAAAGATCTGCGGCGAAGGCTCTTATAAAGATTTCGGGATAAGTAAAATTCTTAGTTGGAACGAAATTATTCCAATATAAATGCACCACACATAATTGCATTCCTTTTCTATTAGCTTAGTCTCAAGCTTGGGACACAGTGCTAAAAGCACACACTCAGTATTTACGCTGTGCAACGATTTTAGTATTCTCTTAAAAGCACTCACGAATGATTTTCACGTGTACTGTATCCTTGTGATCAATTCTTAGTAATGTTAAAGTATCACTACAGTGAACAATTTACTACGCATACTTAAAAGATTAACTACACAAAAATTCTGTCTGACTGTTGCAGTTTGCAAAGAGCAAACGTTAATGTAATTAATCATTTTAAATTTGTAAAAAGTATATATAATAGTAAAGTTGATATAAGTAAAAGATTCTTTTTTTTTTATATTATACTAGCAAGTATCCGCTATGCTGCAACGGGTTACGAGAATAGAATCATTAGTAATTGAATTATATAGTTGAGTATTTGAAGTTTTTTTATTTATTAAGTTATAATATAAAAAGTGTTTATTTAATGGATAAAATGTATAATTATATATTTGAAAAAGTATATTTTAGAATATAATAATTAAAAAAAGAATCCTATATATGATATTTATTTTACTATATAGGGTTAAGATTTTCATTATATACAATATTTCTTATTTGACAGGTTTCACTTTTACCTATAAGAATTCTAGTATTTTGATATAAAATTGCTCTTATATATAATTAACATATAAAAAAACAGATTCAGGAAGATAAATACCAATTTGTTTAAAGTCTGTTCTAATGATTTATTATTTGTTATTAAAAATGCAATACATATTTAAAATTGGCATCAATTTATAATTGCTTTCTGTAGATATTAATGTAATATGTAAAATAAATACATGTTACCAATATGAGATTTTGTTATAATTTCTGCATAAATAATTCTACTTTAAAATTTATGACAAATAAGCCTAGTTCTATTGCAGATGCTTTAAATTTCTTAAAAATTTGATTAGTATTCCTAATTTTAATTTAATTTATTAGAAAGTAGTTTAGGAATATTTAAAGATCTTAAAAATTCTGGTAAATAAACTTGAGATTGATTTATTAAACTAACTTCTGGTAAATTTTTATATTTATAATGATAATAAATTTTACTAATTTTTTTGATTAAAAGTTTAATATATTAGATTATATAATCAATAATAATTATTATTTAAAAAAGAAACAAATAAGATTGTAAATATAAAAATATAAAACATTTATTTTATTTATATAAAGTTAATTATAAAAAATATGAAATTAATATAAAAAAGCAATTTGTGAAAAAATAAATAAATAATTTTTTAGAAGATGAAAGTAAATAAGAAAAAAAATAAGAAAAAAATAAGAAAAAATAAAAGAAAGAATGAATGAATGTATGTAATTATCAAATTAGAAAATTTTGATAAAAATTTAAAAACAAATAAAAGACCTTTTTATTTATGCTTTTAAAATTTAATGAATCATTACAGTTAAGCTTTATAATTAATATTATTTAAGCTATTTAATTTGTAAATCATTTGATTTTAATGTTATTATTAATAAGAAAATACTAATTAGAATAATTAGGAAATAATGATGTAATTAGACTTGAAGAATAAATTAATTCATTTTCAATATGTAAATTTATGATTATTTTTTTCTTATTTTATAAATATATAAATATATGATATTATAAAAGAAAATGACATTTGAAATATACGATTTGTATAATAAATTTTTAAATTCAAAAATTGTATTTAATATCAGAAGGTTTCGATGGGTTTTGTCATCCGTCGAAACTTTTGCCATCGTCGAAACTTTCGCAATTTTGTTTTTAATAAAAATATTTGGCAAAACGTTTCGACGGGTTTCGATGCCTGTCGAAACCTCAGGGCTTTGCATGGAAACGTTAAATAAAACTAATGAACTTACTCTTCGTCATATTATATAATTAAAGCCAACATTATTTATCAACGCAAGCACAATAATAATCTACTTATTGGTCAGGGTGGATAAAATATCGTGTCACCCTTCGGGGTGACCGATATTTTACCCCCAACCAATAACTATTATATATTTATTATCTTGATTAACTAATTTATATTACTAGAAATGCTTTTCTGAAAATCTAGAATCGTAGGATCATATTAAATATAAATATCTTTGAGAAAAAACAAACTGTTTGTGATGAAATCTTATAAATTCCCAGGTGAAGAAGAATCTGATGAATTGTTTCTCAATTTCGTGGCTTTAATATTTCGGCAGCACTTTTACTATATAACTTTAATTGTCCGAAGCATGAGGACAGTCAAATACTACGACAAAGCAATGCAATGTCGTTCTGTCCTGCATATTGATCAACCAATAGAATTCTGCGTTGTTGGTCATGTGTGTTTCACAAAAATTGAACATTAAAAAAATTAAAAAAATTGAATATTTATTATAAGTCCTGTTATGCTTCGGACTAGAAAGGTTATCGTTCCCTAGTATATACAATATCAAAATCAAACTTCACAAATTATTTTAAAATTGATTTATTTATAAATCAAATTTATTTGACATTCATCGTGGTTCGTTCGAATAATCAAAATCTTACCGATAATTTATATTGTTTTAAACATGGTAGTTATTTTTGCCTGGAAATTAATAGTAGTTTAACGGATTATATTAAAGAACTTCAGACTCCTTTGAAAAGGTAATTTCAATGGTGGGAATGGGGAATTTTTTTTTCAAGTATATTAATAAAACGTTATTATTGTTTTACTTTTTTTTCAGATTGCATCTTTGGCACTTTGGCTTGAAGTGATAAGAATGTTAATTCACTTTTTTTTAGGGAATCCTCTTCCGGGAATAGTGGATTTTCCGAATTTTCTTTAAAAAAGCTTTTATTTCGCAGTTTTTATACTGTAGTAACTAATAAACAGTGTTAATTTTCTTAGTTTTTGAATAAGATAGCAATTAAGTATTTAGTTAACTCTATCAGATGCTCTATTCTTTACTTAATAACATTCCTAATGAATGACTTCAGTATAAGCTTTAAACATCCGAATGTATAAAGTCAAATAATAAAATTCTGGAATTGAGGAAGGTCTTTTTGCGGTCATATCGATTTATTTAATGCATATTAACCACAATTATAGTATTCTAATTTCAAAAAAAAAAGTTTAAAATCAAGTAATAAATAAAGAAATTAAAGAAGTGTATAAGAATATAATAAAACAATATGCCTAAAATTATTAATACAAAAATAAAATAAATATATCGCTTATTTTTTTTTAACATTAAAAAAGTAATTTGTCGAAAATTTTGTTTCATCTTAATTCTCGACGATCGTTATGAGAGGTGATTTTTGAGAAATCATCTGCAAAAATAAGGCCAACCCTCTCGTGAATGTCGTTTGAAACTCCTGATAACAAAAGGTTGCTCTATTGAAGCTCAGGATATAAAAAAAACGCCCGTCTGAAAGAAACACAGCGAAATCTTGGCGTAATGGCTGTTTGTTGAACAAGTATGCGGATATAGTCCAGCAGCTGGCCTTTATCCTCATCAGCTAAGCCGGATAGCTGCTTTTGTTTCTTAATCTCTAATACCGTATGGGCGTACTTCGAGACAAATGCCCTTTCTTCAACATCATTGTTCTCGAAAACACTAATGTCTGGCATAAGTCCTTCAAGATAGCCATTCTTATGTGTGTCAACTGCTGATACTCCCTCCCATGTTAAGCTAGATACTTCCATTAGCCCATTAAACCAAGATTGTACCTCTCCCTCGGCCGATTTGCTAACTGGTTTCGGTTTTGAATCCAGATAATTTCGGACCGATTCGGGGATTTTTAATAATTTATTGGCTGGACGAAGGAAGTATTCGATAGTAACTTGTTTAAAGTTTATACTTTTATAAACTTCTGATCGTGTTATTGAGTCTAATATAAAAATTGTCAAAATAAAATATGCACTAGTATAATTCTACGGTTTAACACTGTATTAACATTACGTGGTAGCTCGCGTTCTCCTACATTATCAGGCCGTTTTTGTTGCTTAGATGATGTATTATCATCTATTTCTTCATCTAATTTCCTCATTTTTGATGAGGAAGCGATGTCCGCTTCTCTGCTTCGTTTTTTAAACGGTGCCACGTTCGTGACATCCTTCAAAGTATTTTGTTTATCGTTTTCAGACCACATCTTACTTACCCTCTTAGTATCAACCTTTGCAAAAAAGATCCAATGTAAGAAATAACTCAGAGAATAAATTCAGACAAAACTAGGACAGGATGGCTAAATATGAACTCATCAACCAACTTCTTTGATGTGTATAAAGGAAGGTACATAACAGATCACTCATACAGGATCGTAGACCTTTCAAAAATAGCTGTGTTGACGGTCCACATCTAATTCGGCTGCTTGACAGAGATGCAGGGCCTCACCTCTCCACGAGGACGAACCCAACAAAGAGCGAAGAGCCAGGTAAAAAAAAACTACCTGTTGCTACTTACAGAGGATGCAGTGCCCACCCTCGCTAGGACGAACCCTACAAGGGGCGCAAGAAGCCACCATACAGTCCATATTTACGCAAAATTAACTTACCTTCTTTGTGCTTAGAAGCTTTTTAACTTTGTTGCGAACTTCCTTAGAACTCGAATCGACATTAATTTCATTTAAAGCATTGTAAAAGGCGTGAAAAGCCTTATCCGTATTTATTTCGTGATTATTGCAAAAAACAATGCAGGCTGAAAAATTTTCCAAAGACCAAAACTCGCAAGGAAAGAGATTAAAGTATTTAGTTACAGAGGTAGACATCATGGTAATAGTGTAAAGAGATACAAAAGAAATAAGTTAGAACGTGAGCACTTTTAAACGCAACACGACTTCTTATAGTCTGTTTGCCGCAGTGAAAAACACGAACTCCTTGAATAACAAGCATGACTTAAACACAACGCGAAGAAATAACAAGCATGAATTAATCACAACGCGAAGAAATAACATGCATGATTTTGTATTATCAAAATCTGCTCCGCTGAATAAAACACGAGCATCAGAAGTCAAATTTTTGGTTTTGTGTTCACATTTATATTGATCTACCACCAATGCGATACATGTGTAACAGGAAAACGTATGCTGATCCGTTAATCATACGGAACGATCTGTATGTATCATTATAAAAAATTAATAAAATCTTATTTTAGTAATTAATATATTATAAAAGTCAAGGTTTCTTTTATAAAAACTAGTCTTTTTTTTATAGTTATACATAAAATGTTAATATTTCCAAAAGCTCTATTTGTATGTTTGTCAAACAAATTAATGCAACATAGAATTTAAAGAAGCTTCTTTTCTAATTACAATCGACCCTCTATATAGTCACACCCTTATATAGTCACACCTCCTCTATAAGCACACTTTCATTGGTCCGAGTTACTAATAAACTTATTAAAAAAAACCTCTCTTTAGTCACATCATATAGTATTTTATAATCACATCATTTTTTTCGGTTTGAGTGGTGAGGATCGACTGTATATTATATTAAGAATATCTAGAATTTTTGAAACAACGATTTATAATGTCTACTGGATTGAATACAGAAATATTTAATATTCTTTAGATTATAATTGAAATAATGTCAACTTTAAAATTATTTTTTTTTTTTTTAAGTGTAGTGTTTTGCAGTGATAATTATAAGTTATTGTGCTTTGCAACGATTAATATCAAATTTATTTATCAACGCAAGTACAATAACGTTATTATCGTGTGATTTATGATGTTGACTTAAAATTATGAAGAGAAAGTTCATCATTTTCTTGCGATAGGATGCGATCCTACTAGATGCCTAGCATATTCGAGTGATCGTATATTAGATTCTTTTAAATAAAATGGAAGACCCACTTTTTATTGAGTTACGAAAAAAGGTACCTTTTTGTGTTATAAGATTAATAATATAAATTAACAAATTTTTATTTTAGACAAATTATACTTATGAAAAACTTACTGGTAAGAAATCTTAACAACCTTATTAATATATTTATAGAATAAGAATTGCTTTATTCAATAAAAAAGCAAGATTTAATACCTCCTCAATTAACAATTAATTATATGCTAAAAAACTATATTTTGAAATGTAACAACTTTTATTTGTGATGCATCTTCGATTATTTTGATTATTTTTATAAATTATAGCTATTAATCTTTAATTAAAATATAAAAAAAATTCCGAAATTAAGCAAAAAAAAAAAAAATTTGCGGAAGGTGGTAATTGTAGATGTTCTATTCACATAATTGAATTGATATCGCGAAAGTGAAAAAGAATAAATTATCTAAACAAGCGCTAGAAAAATTTTTTTGAGATATATATTAATTATCTCCTTTTATCTTTAGTTCTTAAAATATTATAATTCGATAGCCAATAATTTAAAATCTAAACCAAATGTGAGCGAAGGATTTTAGAAAAATATTCCATAATTACTATCTTTACGCTTATATTATTCATTATATTGAAAATAGAAACAAGTTACTTGAAATTAATATGTATAATAATAATAAGTATTATTGATTGTATTATTTATTTTCTTAAAATAAATTATTTTTATTATATAGATAATTTTCATATAAAATCCGTGATATCACAAAAAATATTAAAAAACAAGATCGTTTACATCATATGGGTGAGCACAATAATCTAAAATATGGAATAAAATTTGCAAATTTACTATTTACTTCAGTACAAATATTAGAAGAAAAAAATAATATTGTTATAACTATTATTAGATCAAATGATTATAATACTTGTGAGTTTATTTAGGTAAGGCAAGTAATTTGAGAATATAAATATTATAATATATTATTTTTTTATTTATCTTTTAATCAATTTGTTGCTTTATATAAACTTTTTTTCTTTCATTAATTCTAATACAAAATTCATAATAATGGAATACAATTCTAAAATACTTATATTTTATAATTTAATTATTAAAAATGTAAGACAATAGGAAAATTCATTTTTATTAAATTCCTATAAAAATAGTAAATTAATAATAAATATTTAAAAATTATAAAATTTACTCTGTTATAAATTTGAATAGATATAAATTTTCATTATCTATTTATTATTTTTTAAATAGTTTTTATTATTAATTGTTAATTATTTATTTATAAAAAATGAATCAAATCTTTGATAAAAATATAAAAATGATCTTGTGAATTTTTTTAAGATTATTTCTGCATTTATTTACTTTTTTTACTTAATTTATTCTTTAATTATACTAATATTTAATAATTTTAATTGATTTAATATTATATATCATAAATATCAAATTTGAGGTTCATATAGCAGCTATTGTTACTATTTTATTAATTTTATTAACTTTTGTTAAAATATTTTATTGATTTTATTAATCTTTATCAAATCTTTTATTTATTGATTTTTATCAATTCTTTTTTTTGAAAATTTGACTGATTGATTAATATAATTCAATTTAAGTTCTTTTATTCTTAGTATGTAAAAAAGAAAAAATTTTAAAAAGGTATTTTATTATAAAAAAAATAAAGTTTGAGTTGAAATTTTTTTTAAAAAATAAATAATTAAGCTTATTTATATAAATATTCTTAATTTAAAGTAAATCAAAAATAATTTATCAAAAGATTTATTATAACTATATCAATAGAATCATTTTTAATTCTATTTTAATAATATTTAATATTATTTTAATAAAGAAATGTTAATTTATAAGATACTAATTTTTATCAGATTGTATAATACTATTTTATCATATTTAAATCGATTTGTATTGACAAACTATCAAATTTAATACAGTGAAATGCAATAAAAATTTAATTATAATGCTTCAAATTAAAATATAGACTGGTAAAAATCTAAACTAAACTAAAAATTTCAAATTAATCAAAAGTTCAGTTCATTTGAAATAGTTTTTATTATTATTAGATATTAATATACAGGTATACTTTAGTAAATTACTAAAAATTCATTTTAAAAATCTTTTAAAAGAACTTAATTTTATTTATAAATTACCAATTTAAAATATTTTATTAGTATTTATTAGAAAAAAAATGTTTATTATTAATAATTAAATCAATAAAGATATAAAAACTTAAATAATAATAATTTTTTTTGATTTTTTAATAAAAAATATTATATAATATTAACATATATTATTTAAAAAATTTTAGATAGATAAAATAGTAGTAAAAATCATTTTATTAGAATTTAATAATATCTATATCAGCTATTAGATTTTTCAAATAAATCTCATATTAAAAATTTTTAGCTACTAAATTAAAGAAAGATTTGAATTACAAATTTCTTAATTATTACAAGTAATAACAATTGAATTTATTGATCAAATAATCTATTACAATAATTTAGTTATTTTTTTTAAATCTGTATATGTAAACAAGTATATTTTAAAATATTTTATATATAATTTTTTAATATAATATTTAATGTATATTTTTTTAATATTTAAAATTTATATTTTTTAAATATTAAATTATATGAAAATATAGCTATAAAAAAAATTTAACATTTTTAATATAACTTACATTAAAGTTTGTATAGACTTTATATGTTAATTTTAATTAGAATTGTATATTATATTATTAATCTTATGCTCAATCTGTCAAATATAGAGTAATGATAACTTAATAATAGTGAATAATATATGAAAAACTACTAAGTTACTATAGAATAAGTTCTATTATAATTAACCTTAAGTTTATAATAATTTAGATGAGTAAAATAACTTTAAGAAATGTAAGAATATTAAATATCTTAATACATTAAAAGATTTTAATATATATATTTTAGAAAAAGATTCCATTATTGTAAAATTATATCTATAGCAATCCTTAATCTTGAATTCTAAGTTTTAACTTGTATTTTTAAGTTTTTACTATTATTTCTATTTTTTAACAAAAACAGTTTTCTATACTATTTATACAAAATTATTATTATAAGAAAATCATTACTAATATTATTTAAAATAAAATAATTTATAACATAAAAATAAATAATAAAATAAAAGTTATAAAATATAATTTAACTAGATGACAAAACTGCTAAAGCTTTTAAAACTTGATATTTAATCAAATATAGTATAATACTTATTTGATAGATTATATAAAAGAATAGACATTACATATATAAGTAAAGGTTAGAACTGATTAATTTTTAA